CCTATGTATGACCTGATACTTCATCTCCTAATAACATGTAATTCTTGTGTGTTGACCAGGGTTAACTAGAGGGAATCACAACATGGAGGCTGTAGTAGTTTCCTAGGGCTGCTGGACCAAGACCTACCTAGACCTCAGGATATGAGCCATCTTGGCATATGTTCCAGGTGCACTTGAAAAAAACGTGTCTTCTGGGGTTGTTTGGTGGAGTGTTCTACAACAGTTAAAACTGTTGATTGATGATCTTCTTGAATTCTTCTATATCCTTGCTCATTTTCTATGTAGTTGTTCTATCAAATGTTGAGAGAGAAGTGTGAAGTCTCTAACTGTAATTGTCGATTTGTCTATTTCTCCTTTCAGTTCTGTCATGTGTTTTGCATCTCTGTTGTTTGGGAACACACATTTAGAATTGCTTTGTCTTCTTGCTGGATTGACTGTTTTATCACTATATAATGTCCCTCTCTGCATCTGGTAATTTCTTTGTTCTGAAGTCTACTTTATTTGATATTAATATAGCCATTCCTTCTTTCCTTTCCATGATTAATATTTTCCCTATTTATCTTTTCCCATCCTTTTATTTTCAACCTGTTTCTACTATAACATTTAAATTGATTTTCTTGTAAGCAATGTATAGTTGGGTTATGTGTTTTAATCCACTCTGCCAATCTCTGTCTTTTAGCTGGTGTGTTTAGATCCCTTATATTTAATACAATTATTGAGATGTTAGGGCATTAGTCCAACATCTTGATTCCCTTTCATTCTTGAAGGATATTTTCTCTGGCTATAGACTTCTTGGTTGACAGCCCTTTTCTTTTAACACTTGAAAAATGTTGTCACTTCCTTCTGGCCTCCATGGTTTCTGATGAAAAATCTGGAGATGAGCTTGTACCACCCTGGAGGTAGAGCATTATGTACCTCTCAAGGGTCTGCCACTTCTATATCCCCTGTCTACAGAATGCTAGGACCCAGGCACCCCACTCCTCATCACACTATGTATTTAGGGTTAATGAATATAGGTTTCCTGCTGATTCCAAGGTTGCCCTTGTGCATCAGCCACTACAGTATCACCCTGTGCTTGATGTCACTCAGCTCCAGTGGGCCTCAGCTTGCTTTGGTCTTGGTCAGCAGCTGGCCCTCCAGGATCAGTGTCCTCCCTCGGTCATTGCTGCCACCACCATGCCATTCTTAGAGGAGCATGATGTGGGGGCAGCCTGCACTCTTCTTACTGCCCTGCCTACCCACACCTATGTATGACCTGCCATTTCTTCTCCCAACAACATGTAATTCTTGTGTGTTGACCAGGGTTAACTTTACGGAATCACAACATGGAGGAGGTAGTAGTTTCCTAGGGCTGTGGCAACAAAGTACCACAAACTGAAGGGTTTATAATAACAGAAATTTATTTTCCCACAGTTCTGGAGGTCAGAAGTCCAAAACAAAGGTGATGGCAGGGCATGCTCCCTCTGAAGACTGTAGGGAAGGAGGATCCTTTCTTGCCTCTTCCAGCTTCTGGTGACTCTATGTTTTTCTAGGCTTGTGGCAGCATCACTCCAATCTCTGCCTCCATCTTCACATGACTGTCTTCCCTCTGTGTATGTGTCTGAGTCCAAATTTCCCTCTTCTGTTACAGATACCAGTTATAATGGATTAAGGCCCACACTAATGGCCCTATCTTAACAATTAAATTTACAAAGACCTTATTTCCAATAAGGTCACATTCATCACATTCATAGGTAGTGTGGGTTAGGACTGCAACGTATCATTTTTAGGAGAACACAATTCAACTCAGAAGAGAGGAGGAAAGCTTAAAAAGTGAAGCTGAGTATAAATGTTAACAGGGTTCAAGGAACTAAAACTAAAACCCTTTTAAGGACACTCTCATGAGCTCACTCCGATTTCTGGACATTTGATATAAAAGGAACCATATCTTATGTGGTCTTTCTTGTCTGGCTTCTTTCACTTAGCATAATGCTTTCAACGTTCATTCATGTTGTAGAATGTATCTGTACTCCATTCCTTTTTGTGGCTAAATAATATTCCATTGTATCATATACCTTATTTTGTTTATCCATTCATCAGTTGATGTACGTTTGGATTGTTTCCACTTTTTTGGCTATTATGAAAAACACTCTTTTACCATTCATGTAAAGGATTCATATGTTTTCAGTTCTCTTGGATATATAACTATGAGTGGAATTACTGAGTCACATGGTAACTTTACATTTAACTTTTTGAGAAACTGCCACACTGTTTTCCACAGTGGCTGCAGCATTTTGCATCCTCACCAGCAACGTAAGCGTTCAATGTCTCCACATCCTCACCAGTATTTGTTATTTTTTCTTTCTTTCTTTCTTTTTTTATAATTATAACCATCCCAGTGAGCATGAAGTGGTATCTTATTCTGGTTTTGATTTTCTTTTCCCTAATGACTAATGGTGTTGAGCATCTTTTCACGTGTTTGTTGGCCATTTGTATATCTTCTTTGGAGATATATTTATTCAAATATTTTTGAATATTAAATTGATTTTAAAACTGGGTTATTTCTATTTTTACTGTGGAGTTGTAAGAGTTCTTTATATATTCTGGATACTAGATCTTTATCAGATATCTGATTTGGCAATATTTTCTCCCAATTTGTGGGTTGTCTTTTCACTTTTTTGATGGTGTTCTTTGATGGGCAAAAGTTTTAAATTCTGATGAAATCCAGTTTATCTATTTTTCTTTCATTGTTTGTGATTTCAGTGTCATATATTAGAAACTGTTGTTTAATCCATGGTCATGAAGATTTATACCTATGTTTTATTTCAAGACTTTTATAGTTTTAACTCTTATATTGAGCTCTTTGATCCGTTTTGTACACAGTCATGTACTGTGTAACGACGTTTTGGTCACCAAGGGACCACATATATGACAGTGGTCCCATAAGATTAGAACCATATAGCCTGGATGTGTAGTAGGCTATACCATCTAGGTTTGTGTAAGCACACGCTATGATGTTCACACAACAACGACATCACCCGACGACACATTTCTCAGAACGTATCCCCGTCATTAAACAACCCATGACCGTACTAATATTTGCATATAGTGTGAGACAGGGATCCAAATTCATCATTGTGCTTATGGATATCCAGTTGTCCCAGCACTACATGTTGTTTTTATCCATTAATTTGTTTCATATACACTTCAGAGCATCCTTTATCTTTCTGCAGATTTCTCACATATATATAGGCAGACCCTAACACACTGCCCGGAAACACACTCTCTTCCTCAGTGTCCCCTGGATCGTAGCCTTAGTGGGGTGTGTCTGTCCTCTGGGGTCCCTGGAGTGCTCCTTCCCACATTCCCAGCAGCTCAGTCACTGTCCCTTAGGAACTCTCTAGGTCCATTCCTCCCCAACGGAAGAGCGAGAACCACGGTTCTCACTATTTGGGTCACAGGTTAAAACCTTCCATTGCTCACATTGGACACTTTGCTATCCTTTTTTCACATTTATTTTCACCAGTGACCATCCCCTTTCTGAACAGAGAGAAAATGGCAGAGTTTTTCTCTGTTTGTTCATCACAAGAATATATTCAAAAGTGACCAAGATCAAAACCACAAGTCCCTCTCAGGCCTCTGCTGGGATCTGTGCATAGCCCCTTAAACCAAAAAGACCTGTGCGGCTGAGGAAACTTCAGGTCTCAGCAGTTGGCACTGGAGTTCCTCCAGTTAGTGTTCACAATGGCTTCCATGCAGGGCTTGGGGGCCCCTCTCTCCAATATGTGCTCAGCTGTTGCAGATTATTTTCCCTTTCTATGTGTCTCTTTAGTGATCTGAGGTCATCAGTAACCTGAGATTCTCTGGCTGTGAAGGCAACGGGCAGAGAATGCTGTAGGGAAGAGATTTGGAATTCCATAGCAGTATCCGAGATGAGCTTGATTGTGTGTGAGGGTGGTGGAGTTGGGGACAAAGCAAGTGTGAGTGGAGAGATGGGGAGGCACAGTTAGTACTGACCACACAGGCTAACCTGGCTCATTTCACTTGGATCAGAAAGCTGACTTTCCCAGATACTCATGGGACAGAAGGAGATGACTCCTACTCCACTATCTTATCACCAGTTCTCAGCTGATGAAGACATATTTGCTCTTGTTTTGGCATTGAAATAAAAGAAAAACTCCATACCTCTTAAATTTGTTGATTTATCCCTGAGTTGAAAAGCATATCCTTACCCCATGAGTGTATAAGCCAGTGAGGAAACTCCTCTTTGGAAGCAGACTTTCTGCAGGGTCTCAATGGCTCCTAGGCAATTGAGCCTCTACATACACATAGTTTCCTTGGACTTGTGGAATCGTCTGCCTTCAAGCTGCTGAGGGGTCTGAATAGGGATGCCCAAGGAGACATTCCTTGGTAGGTATAGATGGGCAGTTCTCTCCAATGTGCCCTCTTCTTATGATTGTACACCCGAGTGTGTGTGTGGTGTGTGTCTGGACGTGGGTGCATGGATTTTGCAGATGGGGTTAGGGATGACAGAGTAGTGTCCTTGTTCAATGGGCACATTAGGCAGATGAATAAACATCCACAAAGACTGATTTCCTTTGACACAATGTAATGTCCAGTACACTTATTTATTCACTTCAGAGTCAATTCAAATAAACGAGTATGTCCTGAGGGTCTGTGTTGTCTCTGCCCTTGGTCCTGTGGGGAGTCCAGGGGATGAGAGGAGAGGTGCTCCTCATCTGTCTTCAGGAGCAAAGACAATTCCATGACAGGAAGGGCAGCCTGAGGTCAGTGGGAAATAAGCAAAAGCAGCAAGAGCTGTTTGGCTTCAGTAGGAAGAGAGCTCAGGGAGGGCCAGGTCACATGGGAAGGTCTGGGGAGGGAGACGGGACCTGGTAGGACCTGGAAATTGGTAGATTAGGGTGAGGTGATGGAGGGAAGAAGTGCCTGTGAGCCCTGAGGGGGCAGAACACCAGGCATGAATGTGCTTATCAGGTGATGGGTCACAGTCCTCTCTAGGGTCAGTCAGGATTGACGTCACCCAAGGCGTCCTGCCAGTGCCTGGAGGGCAGCAGGTAAAGCAGGTCCAGGGCCCCCAGCATGGCGGCCACACCCAGCCTGGCCTGGCTCCAGGGTGCCCTCCTCCATTCCCACAGCATGGCCAGCAGACCATGCCCCCACTGCCTCTGCAGGTGGGTGACCATGGTCTCCGCCACCCTACGGAGCCACTCCTTGGGGTGCATGCTGCCCAGCGCCTGTGCCAGGCGGTACACGTCGTTGGTGTAGGGCGCGCCCCGGTGGGCCCCAACCACCTGCTCCACCAGCGCCATCAGCTCGGCCACCTGGGCCTCCCGCTCCCAGCCGGTGGCGCGGTTGTCGAAGGCGCAGGCGCAGCGCCCGCACTCGGCCACCAGCTCCTGCAGCACGCGGTTGTCGAAGCAGCACACATGGTCCTGCAGTGAGTCCCCTGCCAGGTCCTCCTTCTGCGTGAAGAGCACGATCGTGCATGCCGTCATGCCGTCACCAATCATGTCCCTCAGCCGCCGCACGGCCTGCTGGTCCTGGGCGGTGCAGCGGCCCAGCTGGGTCACCAGGAGCAGGGCGTGGGGCCCTGGGGACGATAGAAGGTAGCAGTGGCCTCTCTCCCCACACCCTGGCTCTGTCTCTGTGTCTTTGGCACTGAACAGGTCTGGGGTGTTGATGACTTCCACTGTCACCCGACCCACCTCTGCCTGCTGATGGTGTTCAGGGAAGGCGTCCCCAAGATGCACCATTGTGGTATGCAGATTATTTCAAGCTGAAGACAATAAAGGCCCAGAAGGCTCAGGAAGAACATTTGAACTTCCCCTCCCAAACTGCCTAAAGAATTTAACATAGAAGGCCTGTGACAGGAAGGAGCTACTACCATATGATGGCTGTAGTATAGTGTAGCATAGATGCAATAAGAAAGGCACCAACAAGCCCATATTATGCAGAACTCTGTCTCCTGGGCCACATTCTCTAGGTGGTCCAGTAGAAAGTTGTCTGGCAAACATTTGCATTTCCATCTCCATGTGAATTGTCTTCTTCCCCTCTGAAATCCCAAACCACTACCCCCCAACACCTTCTGCGCCTTTAGCTGAAAATACTTAAGTGAGCAGCTTAGTCAGGATGATGAGTTGCTCAGTTCTCTTTCTGAGTTTCCCACATGTATACATGTTATTAGGCTTTGTTTGATTTTCTCCTCCTAACCTGCCTTTTTAATTATTTGACCAGCCATAAGAACCTTAAGGGAAAGGGTGGGGAGGGATTCTCCCTCTTCCCTGACAGTTTTGGTGTAGCTGGCAGGATCCGCACTGGCTGGCAAATTGCCTTCTCTGGCTGGAGGAACTGCTTTCTCCCTGGGACTGGTGCAGATGAGGTGTACAGGAACGCCTGATGAAAGCTGGCAAAAGGTAGGACTTCTTACCACGTCAGCCTCCCAGAATCTCTACCTGCAGGCTCCGGTGGAAGCAAGTGGTCAGGATTTTTTTCTCTTTCTAAATTTAGATTGGCAGGAGAAAATATTTGGGAAACTAGTGTCTTGTGCTTTTAGTGACTCTAGTAAATTTGGTAGAATACTCTCAGTTTTAAAGATCCTTTTCCTCCCAGAGATAGTCGCCATTTTTCTCTTTTGTCTCAGTCGTTTGTGTTGTGTCATAAGAAGGAAATACCATAGGGTAGGGCACAGGCATAGGTGCTATAAGCCTGATGTCTGGGTTGGCCCCGCAGGCTGCTGAGTTTACTGGTCTCACCAGATCGACATCTGTCTAGACAAACTTTGCTGTGGGTTAATATGCACATGAAGTGAAGGCTATTGCCAAGGGCATCTTGGAAGCCAAAAAGGCTGCAAATTTGATGGATGTGGGTCTAACAGTTAAGAGCCATTAGGGTGCTTGCCACCTCAAGAAGTCTTCCATGAAAGGATCAGTTGGTCACAGAACGGGGTAGGTGACACTGGTCCCCCACCAACTTCAAGAAAATGTCCGTGCAACAACAAGGCGCTCTGTAAAGCACACACAATCCCCAGCCCTGTGGCACCTCCCCCCTAGGTATTATTCTGGTGTTGGGAAAGAGGGAGAATCGCCCTTTCCCTTAAGGTTCTTATGGCTGGCCAAATAATTAGAAGACAGGTTAGCAGGAGAAAAGAATACCAAGTTTAATAACATGTATACATGGGAGAAACCAGGGAAACTGAGTTTCTCAACACAATGGCAGAGATTCTCATCTTAAATACTATCTTCAGCTAAAGACAAAGGAGGATATTGGGCGTGGGGGGAGTCAGTTATGGGAGATTACCAGAAAAGCACATTAAACAAGAATAAGGTTATTATGCAGATTTAAGGCCTGCCCTTCCACAGTGATAAGTTTCTAGAGATGAGGAACTTATGCCCCCTCTTCCCAGTACAGAGAGGGAGATACCTTTACAAATGGAGATTTCCCTTATAAATGTAAATGTTTGTCTGGCAACTCTTTGCAGGACCACCTAGAGGATGTGGCCTGGGAGAGACAGAATTTTTGGTAAGATCGGCGTGAGCCTTTCTTATTGTAACATCTACTTTACTTATATTACAGCCATCATATGATAGTGCCTCCTTCCTGGAACAGGTCTTCTATGTTAAATTCTTCAGGCAGTTTGGGGGAGGTCAGATATCCATCAGAGAAAATAATCAAGGTGAAGAGACATATTTCAGGGTGGTCAATTTTGATCTCCCACACTGGATCCAAGAGACCCAAGATGTAGCTAAAGCTGTTATTGCACATGTAAGAAAAAAACGGGATGAGATTTTTCCTTCTGTCTTGTTTTATGTCCTGAGAACTTGGCTTCTTGACCAACGAGAATATTTTCCTTGGTCTCCACCATATGGGAGGTGCATTTACTGGGGTGCAACTTGGTAGCCAGTCAAATAGACTGGTGTTCCGAACTGTCTCTCTGTCCAGCTGTGCCAAGCTCTCAGGGGAGTTTGTCATAAAGGGCCCAGTCCAAAAGGGCTTTTGTCGTCTTAACCTTTGTTGCTTGTTAGTTCTGGAAAAATCTGATTCCAGTAGTGCCTGTCTGGTGTCACAGATTAGCAGGTCTGTGACTTGAGGCATCCCACACTCTCATGGGAGACCAGACACTGTTTTCACTGCACCATCCTTACTGACTGTGCGAGGAAGGTCTTTACTTTCTCAGAATATCTTTGGGAGTGAATTCTGTGGATCATGGGGGCTACATCATCTGCGCCCTCACCAGGGATGCCTCTTGTGTCCATGGTAAAGATTTATTCTAAGCCTGGAAAGTTACCTCCAAGCCTTTCCTTAAAAAAAGACTTATTGGATTGAGTCACTATTGGAATAAATATACAAATGGAGATCCTACACATCAATGGCCAGATGACAGATCCTTTGAATTGAAAAAAACTTCTATACTCAAAAAATATTTTAGAGAGCTCTCATCGCAAGCAGCTGCCTTACTGGTATTTATGGGAAGATCAAATTGAAAAGAAAAATATAACGGCTAGACTTAGGGAACCTCTTAATAAACAGAAAGAACAAAATTCAGATTTGGAACAAAGATTGAAAAGTAAATTTAATGAAAATTCCCCTTCTCCTACCTCTTACACTCCCCTATATCCCCACCTCCCTGTCCCTGACTCCTCAGAAGATCTTTTGGATCTCTGGGCCCCTTGCTCAAACCCTCCCCCTCATTCATTCATTCATCAAATATGTGTAACCACCTACAATGTGTCAGGGAATGTCCGAGGAGCTAGTAACACCACAGTGAGAAAGTCATGGTTCCCTCCTGCCCCTGAACATCTGTATTTATGCAAGAACAGTGGAAGAGCCTGGTCTGGGATTGGAATGAGACTGTGAGAACTTGGTTTTGTCTTTTCAGGGACTCCAAGTGCAAAAACCAGAGCAGAGATTGTAACACTCATTCTGTGTCAGTGAAGAAGCTGTGGATATTAATTTTCTCAGGTAATTCAGTGACAGTGACATAAGCCATAGATATTAAGTTTTCCCGGGAGATTCAGCAGCCAGGAGACACTTCAGAAAACCCTGAGAACCAGAAAATTTGCTCCATGACTTAGGGAAACACCTTAGGGTGGTTGGCCTGGGAAACAAAGAAGAAGAAAATTGGAACTTTGTTTGTGGAAATTGGAAAACAGACATACCTGCCAAGCTGACCTGGAGAGCCTCTGACTCTGCTCTCATAGAGAGCAGAGTCTCAATTCTCAGAGAATTTGGCTCGAAATCTGTCTAAATATGATCTATGTGCTACAGAGACTGGGATGCTCCCCTCTAACTCCTGGTGTTCTTGCCCCTAATCTGAGGCTTCTCGAGGTAAAATGATGATACCCAATTCAATAGTCATTTAATACAGTAAACAACCCATGAGGAAGTTTCCCCTATCACAAGTGCACAGTCTCTCCTCCATCTGCATCTCCAGCTTTGTTTCAAACCACTCCTCTGACTCAATCAGCAGCTCCACAAATAGCAGACTTCAGGGCCTTTCCCAACCCACCTGCGCTTTCCTTCTGTGACCATTCTTCCTCTCCTACATTCTCTCTAAGTCCTGTCTGCACTTCACCATCCATTTCAAATTCTGCCTCTTCCTGTCATCCACCTGGTTACTGCAGGTGACTGTGTTCCCTCAGACTGGCTCCACACAAGGGAAAGCAAAGACAGAGGCTGGCTGAAGATCTTGTCTCTGGCCAAAGACCTAGATGACAGGTTTGCCTGGTCCCCAATCCAAAGTACTGATGTTTCTGCAGGAGGTCCCCTGCCACCTCCCCAAGCCTCCAGCAAAGTTCACCCCACGGGCCTCATGTGACAATTTTGTGTAGAAATCAACAAGCTCCCATAATTGACAGCAGAGCAGAAATGAAGAAACAGCCACAAGATTAGAACAAAAAACAGAATTTAGCTAAAGCAAGAAGTCCCTGTCAAAGATGGAAATGAGAAAGTGCTACAGGGAATTCACAGAACCCTTGGATAGGCCATTTGCAACTTCCCACAGAATTTGGAGTGGGATTTGAAAAGTTCTTCCAAAGTTCTTAAGAGATGAAATTTGGGGGTGCAAAAGGCATATTGTTATTGAAGAATGTAAAACATGTAGAATTCTATCATCTTAAAACTCCAAGGGATTGGAATTTGTTTATCTAGTCCAGTACTCTTAAACCCACTATCTTTGGAATTATCTAGGGGATTCTTTAAAATGAATGTTTCTTAGAGATTTTGATTCACATATCTGTACTTTAAAAAATAAGTACCCCCCTCCACTGATTCTAATGCATTCAGTCCATGATCTGAGTTTGTGAATGCCCTATCCTAGCTCATTCATCATTATACAGATGAGAGGAGATGAGAACTTTAAGATGGCTCAGCACTCCTCAGAGCCCTGGGCAAGTTAGATTGGGGAGCAGATGTGTAAGGGCACACGCAGGGCAAGGGTCTGAAGACCAGCCTCATATCCTTAGATGTCTCCTACAAGACCCAATTGTGGACAGTGCTCAGGAAATTGGAGCGTTTTTAGGAGGATTCAGTTCAGATATATACAGAATTTCACTTTGTAACTTGTTTGAGTTTAGATGCATTTATATTTCCTCAAAAATGTTTTTTGGCTTTCCTCAATATGCATCTGGGGAGTATTTCTGCCTTCTAAAGTATGTTTTGTTCCCTGCAGTAGTTCTAGCAAACACCTTCCTTATTTATTAGGGGAGTAGGGAAGGAGAGAGGATTTGGTAAGACTGTGTGCCCTCCAGAGCTGGAT